AAAGCAGGGCTTTTTTTGTGGAATAAACGTCAAAAATATTCAAGTCATTTTTATTTACAGCGTTGCCAATTGTTGTTATTTTTTATATATTCAAAGTTGACAGACTTTTACAAAAGGTTTACACACGCGTGCGTTACGCGTGTTTGATTGGTAACGGCTCTAAATATGTACTTATCCGTTTAAAAGATGTTATGAAATAAAATTTATGCAAACGTATAATAAATCTAAATAGAAGAATTTCTATTTCGATTATCCGAATCTTTAATACCCCCCAAACAAATAATTTTGTTAGAAGTAAGTTATTTGCGTTACACATACAAAATATTTTTTGTTGTATATTAAATTATAATTTAACGTTACTTCTCATATTATAAAATATATTGGTTTATAAAAAAAATAAATTAATAAGGTTTTATGATTAAAGAACGTATCAAAGCGTATATGAGTTTAGAACAGGATTAAAAGCTAAACTGACATTGTATTTAATGATTTTCAAATATAATTTCTATTGTTATATGTAAACTAAAATTATCAATACATAAAACTAAAGACTTGTTACGTTGGTTAAAAATATCATAGCAGTTTACGCTATCATATTTAAAACATTTATGGGTTAAACGCTATAAGCGTGTAGGATTAAGTCACATTTGCCATACAAAATCCACACAAAAACATACAATAGTGAACAAAATAAACACGTCACTTTTGTCTTGTTTTCTATTTGCTTTTGGTTTTTTTGTTTTATTGTTCGTTAGATTTAAAAGTTAAAATGTGAATTAATTAAATAATTCTTAAGGCAAAATTGATTTGTAGTATATATAAGCCAAAATTTATTTATAAAATTTCCTACATTTTTTACTTTTTACAAAATTTATTATGAAGGGTTTAACAATTATTGTTTTCAATAGAAACGTAACCATTAAGAATTATAAAGACAAAAAATTCAAATATAATTATTAAAAGAATTAAAATTGGTTAGTTACGTCTTTTATTTAGCGCAAAATGTTTCTAAAATTTGTTGTATGTTGTATAAACTATTAAACACTATTTAAATTTAACCAGTTTAAAAAATATTTAAGAGTTTTTTTAAGTATTTATAATATATCAAATCAAAGTATCAAAACTGTAAAACTATATTAAAAAATTAACTACAGATTTAAGGGCATAAATAGGTTAAATTATTTACCACTGCTGACGAATCTGAAACATTATTAACAAAATTTTCTAAACATTTTACAAATTGATTTTAATTAATAAATAAAAAATAAATTTTATTTTTATAATATTTTCATTTATAAAAATAAATTTTGATATTAAAAAAAATATATATATGATATTAAAAATTCTTTTTCTTATTACATTACAATTATTTATTTAAATTTTCTGTTGCAAACTAACAACAACTTATTAAATGTTAAAGCTTGTATGTTTTATTATGTTTCCAATACTATTTTACTAGAAAATGTACCATCATCAATTTAAAATCAATCAATTGGAATCATTCGAATTTTACTATTTATTTGTAATTATAAGTAAATAGTTGTTAACTTCAAATAGCATATTATCAATTTATTTTTGCTTCTTTTTTTTTTTTAAATAAAGGTTTGACTTAAATGCATACCATAAGGGCGCGTTAAACGGAGTGAGCGTAATATAAAATGAACCCTCGCCGAACTGATGAGTAAAAATTTTACACAAATAATAAACAAAATGATGAGTACGTTACGCGCTTACAAGAAGAAGAACTGCTACAACAAAAGCATTGCTACAACAGCAATGGACTGCAGGACTTCTCTTTATTTTGTATGGTACGCATAATCGTGTCCTGTGTATAGAGGGTGTGACCGGGTTAAATGCAAAAATTTTCATAGTTTGTTCGATGCTCAGAATGTGAAGTCCTTTTAAGCGCAGTTATTGTGCGGAAATTAAATAAATTTTATTAAATTATAAACAAATATTGTGTATTTTTGAAAATGCGGAAAATAAAATAAAATCCCGTTGCAGTAAAGTTCGATTAAATAAATAAAAATGAAATCTAATGAATATAAATAAGTGAATAAATAAAAGTAATGATAGTGTTTGATTTTTAGTGAGAAAAATATGTACCTATAGTAAAAATTTTACTACGATTTTTTTTGCAATTAATTAAAATAATAAGAAATAAATGAAATAGTGAAATATGTTTTGTTAATATATATAAAATTATAGAATATTTTTTTTTAACGATAATGCAATTTCGAAATGTAAAAAAAATTAATATATAGCAAAAATGCAATGTTAATTTTTAATACATCAAAAACTAAAATAAGGAAAGAATAATTTGTTTTACAAATGTGAAATATATAAAATATATAAAAAATTGCAAAAAATAAAAAATAAAATAAAAAAAAATTAGAAGTTGTGCAATTTGTGTGCATTGAATAATTTAAAATTAAAATTTGAAGTCACTCCCTGTCTGCTATAGAAAATTTTAATTTCTATTGTACACTGCTTCTTTTACTTTTTTGTATCGACGACCTCAACACTGCACACTACACCACCAATACATCGCACTGCCATTGCCATCCTACCACCCTCCCACCCGTACTCGCAAACTCGTTAACCCTCGTGTATATGTATGCTGAATGCACGACCATACTCGCTCGTCAGGCATAAAGTAACAAACAGGAACAGCGGGAACACTTGAGTATCCCGAACTTAAAAAGGATTTTAATCAATAAGATACACATAAGCACTTGCCGATATAGCAACTGTATAACAGGATAATTTTGCTTTGCTTTTTGTTACTGTGTTTTCATAACTTTGTTTTTGTTTGCTTGCAAATTTTGTTACTCTCAATGTGAGTATGAGAAGTAATAATAAACAATACTAATATGAAGAGTAAGAGAAAGAGAGTGAGAATGAGAAAGAGAAATAACACAACACCGTTATTTATGTGGATTTTAGTACCACTCGTAACTTAAAAAATAATTTACATAAGATAAAAATAATTAAATAAATTGTTTATATATATTTTTTATTATTAACATTTCTTTTTTTCCTAAATCTTTTAATAACAATTTGTTTTATCGGCAACTCATTTATTTATACCTTCTCGCTGCGCTCTCTCATATTTTCATGTGCATTAAAAGTCCCGGAAAATGAGAATTCGTTACCAACATGCACTCCATAACGCACACACATATCTAAACATTAATAAATACATACACAGAAACACACTATAATCAAATTATGCTTTTACGTTATTTAATTTTACGAAAGGGTTCCCAACCAAGCAGACAAACGTCCTAGAAACGAAGTGTTCTCGTAAAAGTGCGGTTAACCAAAAAGGACATGCAATTCTTTAACCGACCTGAAGCAATGAAATAAATTTCTTCTTTTTTAAACTTACTATTCGTTGGACAAAGCAAACAAAAGTGTCTCGTCGTTGCGCATAATCATATTTACACAGCACATAAAGTGCATTTTCTTTAACTGCATAATACTGTTAAAATAGCTCATACTACAAATAAGCTTGCCTCACATAATAAGATAATAAAAACCGCACATAATAATAACAAAAAAAAAATCATAATAAAATATGCAAGATGAATGTGATAATAGCAGCCCAAGGGTGCGACGACACCAATTAAGGCTGTCAAACCATTTTGCAAGTATCATTTCTAAGCTGTGCAATGAAGCTGTGCAGTAGACAACTTCAAACAGGACATTCATCAATAAACCCTTCTTTTCTTATAAAAGAAAATACACATAGCACATCACAATCATAACAACAGACACATGCTTGATTTTTGTTCTTGTATATGGACAACAACATTAAACATAACAACAACAACAATCGAACAGAGATTCAATGCTTCTGACAACACGAGAGTTTAGGGCTTTTTAGTGAGAGCTGCATTTTAGCAACTTCCTGAAATGTAACAATTAATGTGGGCGTAGAGTAGCAAATTCCTGCTTATATCTTTTTCTATTCAGTGTATGCAGGGTTTAGTATGTGAGTGTGTAACATGTAAGATGTAAAAAAGCTGTGCTTAGGGCAACATTAAGTACAAAGAAATAAAAACATAAGTTGAAGGATAAATGAATGTAATGTACTAAATTTTTTTTAATATATCTTTGGAAGAATGGAAGTTTTGATGTTTGTGGTGTGTTGTTTTGAGTGTAGTAAATTGCTGAATTGTTGTCTAAAGCATACTTGACATACTTCCGCTGACTTAAGACTTTGTTTAACTTTAAATGAGTTTACTTGTATGTGAGCTCCGTTGACGTTCTCTGACTGCTATAGGCGGATTGTTCTTTAAGATACAAATATTCTTCAAATTTTGAAATATTTATAGGTTATGCCTGAAAAATATAGTTTCTTTTATGAGGTTTACGCTAGATATAATAGCCAATATGTCAATCCAATAGTCACTTCATTCTAGTAGTGAGTGAGTTTTATTTCCGGTACCCGACTGGAGATATTAATGTGGTACAGCGATGGTCCGGGCCAATAGCTTCAGCTATCCTGGCGAATGGAGCTTGGTATCTTTAATGATTATTCATTTACTTTACTTTAATGATCTTTAATGAGATTATTGTGTGGGATCCGTTTAAAACTGAAAGTTACGCGAAAATACTAAGCGTATTCAGAGCTATTAGATAGTGATCTCTCACTATTGGCACCAATGCAATCCCTTAGAATTCCAATGAAAGCGTTTATCGGCGCATTATAGTGATACGTGTGTTAAGAACAACGTGGTGTTAAGTTTAAATAGCAGGTAATCACGTTAAAAAACCATGGACTCTGTATTTTGACTGTGCATTGGCAATTAGATTGAGATGAACCATATATAAAAACTTATTTTTGAATGCAATAAAGTCTTAATAATGATAAATATGTTATACTTTTAACACTTGTTTAAATCAATGGATAGATTATTATTTTTAACTACTAGTTAAGAATGATCAAATATCTAAGTAAATCCTATTACCATCTTTGCACAGCGGTTAACGATGAATTATTCTATTATAAAAATAGAAATAAAAAATTATTTTATTATAATGATTAGTTAACGTCAACGTATTTAACGATTTCTTAGTTAAATTGAGAGACTGATTAATATTTTATGTTTAGATTATTGCAATTCACTTGACAGATACAGAGTAATATATACAATGTTTCATACAAAAATCATACAAAAATATGCTATAGAGTTCAATAAGTCAATGTGTAAAGATAGTATTTTAGACAGCTGCCGAAAGAATTTAATTCGTAATTTATAGAAATTATAATACAATACCAATATATGGAAATAATTCACTTCAGCTTGTGCTACATTATAAAAGTATTTTCTTTAATATAGTTTTTATTTAGCGTTAATTTGCAAAATAAATAAATAAAAGAAAACTATCAAATTTCATAAAAATTTCGAGCAATCCATAAAAATCGCTTGATCAGCAAATTCACTAGTTGACTAATCTAATCAGAATGTTTCCAGCTAATATTAAGGGTACTTAAAGTCAACCGAACCTGAAAAAACAGGGCCGATGTTGTGGTGTAATCCATTCTTTTAAATTTCTAAAATATTATTTGAATTAATTTATCTTCATAAATGAAATTTATTTGTAAAAGTAAAAGACAATAAGAATGACTTAAAAGTAGGGATTAAATAGATAAAAATAATATAGTATTTTCTTCCAGACTGGCAAAAATATAGTCATAATTATTTATAAATAATAAAAAATAAGTGGGGAAAATATAAACTGTAAATAAATATAGCAGTTTTAAACACAGTTTTGTTCGAAAAAAGCAACTGTAATGTAATATTCCATATTAATAAATAAGTCAAGTGAAACTACAATAAAAATATCAAAAAAGCGAAAATAGAAATTAAAAAAAATGGAATATGAATACATTTTTTAATAAATTTAAACAAACAAATTAATTTTTTAACATTTAATATATGAAAAATTAAAGTAATTAAACAAAAAAATATAAACAAGCAAAATATTATTATTTTTATTAAATGATCTCATCCTTATGAAGGTTATTATTTTATTTTGTTTCTAATTACGTGCATTACAATATAAACAAAATAAGCGCCATATTGTTTTTCCAATTGTCAGAATATTTGCTTCATCAGCTGATAAAATTTCAGCAAATTTTTTAATTGAACTAAGGTTAACAAGATTTATCAGAGTTTACAGAAAAGTAACCGAGCTTTCCTTAACAAACACGATTACTTAGTTCAGATTTTAAAAATCTGCGTTTGATTAAAGAAAAATGCAATAATATTTTAATTGATTCTACAAGAGTTTGAAAATACGTTTGCGTCGGTGAAATTGGGTGGTATATGTTGATGAGATGCTTTTAAACATTACAAAATTCTAGAAGTGTTGTTTTCTTCAATTTCAGTGTAAAATGTTTGTGAGTTTTGAAGCAGTAACAAATCGTAACAAAACAAAGACTTTCTTTGTTTAAAGTTAATAAAAAATAAATATAAAATAATTTGAAAAATAAAAGTCGTAATATAATAGAGAGAAACTTTGGTAAAGATGGGTGATTATCACGAGTACACCGACCAGTACAAAGTACCTGTGATAGCAAAACTATTGCATGCCTTGCCGCATTACAATATTACATTTCACAGAATTAACAGCACTTTTAGACCAAACGATGAAATCTATTTGGAGGTTAGTAATAACTAATTATTATTAAATATATTATTACAATTTATTGTGCATTTCACCCACTAAATAATAAACATTATAAGTTTATGTTTGACTTTAAGGAATCAATATCTTTCAGAATTTTTTGTTATCAATTAATTATTGTTATAAATGAAGCAAAGATATTAAAAGTCTTTTTCAAATTTAACTTATTACATAAATATTTATGTAAGAATTCAAATTAATATAGCATTATGGTATGTTCATATTAATACAATTAACACGAGATAAATGTGTAACAAAGAGGTTCAATATTTGTAAGTGTAAACGTAGTATGAATATGGGTTTACTCGTTACATTCAGTTTTAATATGTGATATATAAAAGTACGGTTAAAAAGTATTTGGTATTACATATTTGTAACACATTAGTCAGAATGAGAGTGACTTCCATACTTTTCAGCAAAACCCATATTTAAAAAACATTAGTGATAGTTATTTGCACGTTAGTGATATATTTTTTTTCTTCTTAGGTTGACATAATATTGCACAATCCCACATTGTGCAGTATTATTTAAACCATTTCTTTCAGTTAATCTGTATTCACTGTCCTTCTCAAATACTATATTTCCATGGTTCCTGAATAGGCGAATTTTGAAGTTAACCATATTTTTTAAGGCAACCCTTTCTTGTTTACCTGATAGGTGTAACCTATAGTTTTTATTTAGGTATATATAGTATTGTTAATAGTTTAACTTATCTTTTCGATAGTAGTAGAAGAGTATACTTCGGAAAATCATTTCCGTAATAAATTTTTGTATTTTTGTATCAAATAAACTTCCTGCACCTGTAGTACAAAGCACTCCTGCCAAGCCATATGCATGATATAACCCGCCTGCAATGAAGCGATTTTCGTTGTTTAATGCAGTGGTATATAAAGACAGGAAAGGAGATTCTTTTAACTACCACCGTCAAAATTGTGGGTAAAAGGAATAAAAGACTGTAAGGTACTCACCACTAGGAATTATTAGCTGATCAGAGCACTCTGTCTTAAATCTTTGTTCACAAAATGTGTCTTAACGGCATTTACTTGTTTTACTTAATCGGCTTAGTAGCTCCTCAGTGTGAAATACAAGTATTTCGAACCAAAACTCTCTTGCTGAGAAACTCTCTCAGTGGTTAAAAACTAATATATAGATCTTATTTATTAAAAGTTTAAGCGTGAAATCGCCCAACAATCGATACTGCGTCTAGAAGAGTTCTATTGTACCAGTTTCACTATTGTTTACATAAAGCCCCTTAAAGCTTTGTGAATATATAGTACTAATCTGGCTTAATTTATAGTACCTCAGTGAAATGGTCTAACATTTACGTTGGTAGCTATGAAATATATCAGGTAAATTTTCTGAACCTTGGATTACAGTCATTCTAAAATATTTTTATTTTATATACACCATAATATATTTATTTACAAAGAAAGAGAAGATAGTTTCACTTAATAAAAAACATTTAATAATGACATGAACATATTATACTGTCATTGGTAATTGGTATATATATTACCATAAACATATTAAAATTTATATATATTTTTAAAATAATTAAATATTTTTATTCATTATGAAAAAGATAATTTTACTAAAAAATAATATTTTACTTTAATCAAAAAAAATTATTTTTAATAAATTTTCTTTACTTGTGATGTCCTTATGAAATTCCTTTGAAAATAATTTATATTTCAAGTGCATTATTTCAACTAATTTCTATCCTTGCAGAGCTTGGGCATTTTGGGCTCAGTCCCAGCAGCGTTGCTCATCATTTCCCTTCTGGGACTGCTTTTGTATTTAATGACTCGATGTTGCGACAGAAAACCGCGACCAGCGCATTCAATAACGAGTCTGAAAGTTGCCCTATCCATCGTCACTGTGATGTGCTGCGCAGCAATTGGATTGGGTAAGTTCACATAATTAAATAAAAGAGAAAAATGCCATTTAGGACCAACCAAGCAATTTAAGTTGATTAGGCTAAAACATTTGTTCAGTAACTCCGGGATCCTATGGGTATTCACTTCTTGCCATGAAATAGTAAAACTTATGCTAGCGTTTAAGTTTACAAAATGCAAGACTAATTTTAGTTTTTGTGTTAATTAAAAAAGTTTGATTGCTTAACTTAAATAAAATTTATTACTTTTCTTCTCGCATTATAACAAGTTCCTTGAAGAAACTTTTATATAAAGAAAATGTAATTATTTTAATTTGGCAGTAATATGAAGCTTAAAATATAGAATTTATAAAAAAAATCCTTTAGAAGACATTAATAGTTACATTGTAAAAGCTTATAATACCAGAAAAGAAATACTAGTAATTATAAATAATATAAGACTAACCCACTTAATTTAATATCCACTTAATTAACATTAATATTAATGTTTAAACTTAGGTTTTCAATAGAAATACTTTTTGTTAGCATTTTTAATTGATTTTTTGATATTTTAGTTCTGTTAGCTGGCACTTTGACTATACATGTCAACACGTTTTAATATATATGTTTAAACGAAGTAAAGCTTTGATTGCATGTGTAATAGAAGTGAATCCTTTAAATGCGTTATTTATAAGTCTTGTCTTGATTATTTCATTAAATGATGATGGAGAGTTTTATTTACTTTTATTTGTTTAATAAGATGGTAGTTAAAGCTTAAGATATACGTATACGGAATTAACAAAGTTCAAGAATTACTTATTTGTTTAAACACAATTTCTGTAAATGCTATAAACTGAGCAGCATCATCTGAGGGACTAACCGATTACATATGCAACAATCCAACACCGTCAAAGTTGGTCCGTTCATTAAAGCCCACTCGGTGTATAGTACTCCACACTTAATCAATAATAATAAATCGATAATATTAATCATCGATATAATTTATTATATTTATTAAATATTTAAAAATTTATACGATAATTTAGAAGAGCGTTGCTTATTTTAAATCCTTTCAAAGGAGCAAAGTTAGTACTTATCTTGGGCTGCATAATGTCTTATACTGATTAGTCGAATGGGTTTACAGGTGCTGACTATATTTATATACATATACATATATCTGCTGTTAGCTGGCACTTTGACATTTGTCTGCACTAAATATATTTAAGCTAAGTTGAGTAATTAGTTCAAAATTTACTTCTTATTTATTTGGAATGTTTTTTGGAATATTCAGAATATTCTCTACTAATTAAAAAAAATTTACAAAACGTTTAACACAGGACTTTATGGCAACGATGATCTACACAATGGTCTCTTGGAAGTTTTAACTGCTGGTCGTAAAGTGGACAACTTAGTAACCACAATAAGGAATCAAACTCACATTCTTGAGAATACACTAAAGAACCGCATAAGACCGCAATTGGTAGAATTGGCTGATATATTTGATCAACCAGTGTCTAACCAAACTGCATTATCTATATTATTTGTTTCGCTCAATATTGTGCAAGGCAATGTAACACTCGCTACTAATGCGGCTGGTGATATAGGTCGACCACTAATGGGTATTTCCATGACACAATATTTAACGGTAAAATATCTCTCATTACATACTTTCTTCTAAAATTTATAATAAAATTGAATTACAGCGTGGTGATCAATGGGAATTGATACGTTGGCCAGGTACTGTTGCAACTCTGGCCTTACTGCTTGTATTGTGCGCAGTTTTACTGGTGGGCGTGGCTCGCCATTCTCGTTGTGCACTCATACTATTCAGTGTTTGTGGTTTATTGGCAGTAACCGGATCATGGTTAATGTCTGGCCTCTATTTATCATCCTCAGTTGCTGTTGGAGATCTTTGCATTAATCCAGCTGATTTTCTTGTATCAGCTTCGCCTCGTGATTTACCAACAAATGTGTTACTTCACTACACACAATGTGAACCTGGTCACACTAATCCGTTTACTCAACGTTTACGCGAATCTCAAAATTCTTTAAACAACGCTCGCAGCGCCATGTCTACAGTTATGAAAATATCTTTGGTTCTCTTCAAAGCTTCAGGTTTACAACCGAAATTGGGTGCCGTTAATGCAGATTTAAATAGTAGCGAACGTTTGTTAACTCAATTAACGGCTCTTGTTGATTGTAAGGTTGTGCATCATAATTTCCTTGCTGCAGCCAGAGGTCTCTGTGAGGGTGGATTATTGGGTTTGGTTCTGATGCTCATTGCTAGTTTCATAGCTGCAATTTTGCTCACTATTATGGTTTGGGTCGATTCACATACCTGGATTTATATAAGAAAACGCAATGACTATGCTCAAGTTGATGAACCGTCTTACATATCTCATCCAGCTCCACAAAATCATCAGCAAATGATGAATGCTGCGCGCACTTTGCCGCGAAATCACAATGGGTGAGATTATCTATTGTCAAAGATTTGTTTAAATTCCTCTTTAAAACTTGTTTTCAGGCACTTTAGTCCACCCGTTATAAGTGGTTCCCATACCTTACAACATCCCTCGAAGAGGCAGCAGCACGAAATGATGGCGCACGCACATATGCAGCAGAACATGAGGGCTATGGGCACTCATACCTTAGGTAGATTGCCATCGCACAATCATAGCCCCACCCACATGACTGGTAAGTTACATAATAATTAAATAAATTTATTTAATTGGAAAATTGTAATTGTTTAATATAATTATTTACTTGTTTTGATTATGAATTATGAATTTTTACTTACAAATAATTTTTATTTTCTAGGCCCTAATAACGGTAAATATGCTACATTAAGCAAACAATGCAAAACTTTGGAAGCAAATGATTTTTACTGAAAATCATCAGCCTGTAGCGATCCCACACGAAGTCAACCGTCAACACAGCAACAGATGCCACCACAACCGATCTACTGTCATCATCCACATCCCCATACACATGCAGCCGTTGCAGCAGCTGTTCAACATCAACATGCTATCTATCATCAGCAACAACAACAGTATGGTACCTACACAACAGCGGCACATCATCAGCAGCATCACATGGTACCGCAACAGAGCCAAATTTATCAGCAAATACCAGCTCACATCCCTGCACAACTGGCTCCAAATGGTAACCCACATTCCATTTATCAGCCATTGGTGGCTGTAAGCCAGGGTTCTATATACGTTTCTAATTTGGCTACAATGAGACGTCAAAACTCACAGGGTCATCCACAGATAGCAGCTCATCATCAGCCGCATCCACATCCTCAACATTCGCAGCCATCACATCAACATCCCTTACAGCAACAGCAACAACCTCCACCACCGCAACAGCAACAGCAGCAACAACAACAACAGCAGCAACAGCAACAACCACAACATCAACAGCAACAGCAACAACCAGTACATCATATTAAATCTCCACAAGATACAACGGAAGTGCCGATTTCAAGTAGCATCGATTCTGTTCTGTACGAACGTGACAAGCAGATCTATAAATGCTCAACTCTACGTCAAGGTGGAAAATTTGATCCAAAATATAAACCATCGATTTTAAATTGCCCTCTACCTGAAATACCGAAGGATGCCGAAACGCCTCCAGTTGAGTCTATTTATCAACAACAACAGAACTATTCAAAGTGAGTTCAAATAATTGAAGTACAATAATCAGAAGAGTGATATATATCGAAAGAAAAAAATTTGAGATTGAAACTTATATTACTACAACTTTATAAATTTTATTAGTGACATGATATATAGAAGCAATTCTCACTTTATTCATTTTAAATACAAAACTATAAAAGATGAATAGGTACGTTAGATTGATTTAGTAGTATAAAGTTAAATACCAACAGAACTATTATGTATTTTGATCTTATTTTGATCAATTTCTTGGTATCCTGTAACACTCTCCCGTAGAGTGATACTTTACAGTTTATTTAATTCATTATTTCAGTTTCTTCTATACCGTTTTCTTGAATCTTACTTTGTTGCATTCATTATCTTCGTCTCTAATATTTACAGGCCTCCTATATTCTATTTGAATAGATTTGTGTATTGAATAGATTGAAGTATTTACAGAGGCAGATAAAAAATGGTTAATGGTTCAAGATCAGGCGTTTACTTTAACTATTTTGATTTTAAAATATTATTCTGCCTAAATAATTGCATTATAAAATTTATGGTACTTATCATCTATATAGTCTGTTATTTTATCGTTATCTTAGACTCTTTGACAACAAGTTCAGCATATTACAGCTCTAATAGTAAGATATTTATTAAAGTTATTTCGATGGTTCTCATATTTTATAAACTAGTGATGGAGTGTAGACGAAAAAGAACTTCTTTAATACGGATTATTGTCTTTTCAATAATTCGGTCTTAAATAACTTTTACAACCATTTGGATCAAAATATGATATTATAACACTTTATTTTTTTAATTAAAACAGAATGATCCCTAAGATCAAGGTAAACTTAACCATTGTATTTCATTTTTTCATGTAAAGGTACTTCGTATATAATCGTTGGACAAACGGAAAATTGTGACATGAAATATCTTATATTTAGGTTAGGAGTTTTTTATTACGATTCCTCTCTCAATTAGGCTAAATATTTTTCGAAGTACAAATGCGAGGGCATGACGATTTACATAAGATTAACTGGAACCGCGAATAGTCCGCTGCCTCACTTTAAAATTCATTATATAGTATTTCTAGCTTAAAAATGACCAAATGATGGCTTTTAAAGAACCATCTAGCTGAATATTATACGCGTTATATCTTCTTTGATTTCTATGAATCAACCCTAAAATTAAAAGGCTTGGTAGCTAATTGTCGTTCACTGGAGGTCTACATTTACCTATGAAATGTCATATATTAACTTTATTTTATACTTTATTTTACTTTATTTTATACTCTTATACAAGTACTATCATTACTTATCATGTATGGTATCAGAAAGTGATTGCAAGTCAATGGGATTTAATCTTAAAGTCTTAATATATGACATTATAATCGAGTTTTGGTTTTTCTAGTCTCTTAAATAATAAAAAATGGAGAGTGTTTGTATTCTATAGGATTTTTTTTTTGCTATGGAAGTTTTTTATTCCATAGCAAACAAAGGTTGCTTATTATAATTGTATATATAGAGTAGTAACATAATTAATCGAAAGTGTTAATTTTTTATGAAAAAAAGGTTTTGGTATTACAATGGTATTAATTATACCATACCCCTTAAGTTTAAGCTGTATGAAAGTAGTAAAGCAGAAGTTTTTATATAATATATGGGATTTGATTATGAAGTTCTAATATGTTGTATCACAATCGATCTTAAGTTTGTCTAGTATCTTCGGTAGCAAAGAAAAAATATTTTTTAAAGAATACAATATTAATAGTATTGTACCCCTTATGATAAAATTATATGAATGTTTTTAAGTAAACATGATCTATAAAATCTCTAATAATTTATAAACAATAATCTATAAATAATTTATAAAATAATATGCGTACATGTATACATACATATACATTACATATATAAAATTTTTTATATATATTATATATACAATTTTTTTTTTGAATTACTGAACCTTATTTATACGAGTACTATTTTAAAATATTAAACAATTTTTTGTATATATAAAATTTTGACTTTGGAAGGAAATTAGACAGTTTTGTACCTCTTGGTTTTTTAATTTTACTATATATTTAATAAAATAAATTTTTTATGTATTTAAAAAAATTTTAAATTTATATAATATAATCTTCTACTTATATATATACCTATGTCTCTTCTTTTTATCTTTATATATAATTCATAATTTTTTATCTTAATATAGAACTTTACAAAGACCTCCAATGAAGATACCACAAATGAAGGCAATTCCACCACCACGAATTGGTACACCAACTTCCCCACCTCGAGCTAATTTAAATGGTGTTCAAATGCAGAATGGACCAATACCAACAACTACAACAGTGACAACTATTGCTCAAAATGTCGATTCACATCGAACAAATGATGATACATCGCTGCCACCACCACCACCAATGGAAACGTCAATTTCTTCACCAAACAGTAAAGCCAATAATATTATGAATCATAACAACAACAACAATAACAACAACAACAGTAATAGCAACAATGTGAATAGCAACAATGCAATGCCATTACAAAATGGCAGTTCCTCTAACAACATGGAGGATGATGATGATTTACCGCCACCTCCACCGCCAGCACTTAATGACGAATCCAATTATGCGGTGACGGAACTTTAAAAAACCACAAAAGAATAAACAAAACAAAAAACAATTAAACAATTTCTTAGAAAGGTAAAATGTGGAATTAAATGATTAATGCTTTGATTATTTTTTTTTTTTTTTACTTCCAATTACAGTTGACAAAAAGTTGACAAAAAGTTGACAAAAAAATTGATTGTTTTTAGGTGAAACGTAGGAATTAAATGTTGATGTGTTAGCGAATTTTAATGCATTTCAAGCTATTGTTATATATATATAAATAAATAAGAAAAATATTCTTAATTATTAAAAAAATTATTAAAAGATTAGTTGCAGTTGCATTCGTTTGCGGCTTTTCAGTAAAGTTAAAAAATTTTTAATTTATTTTAAAATGTTTTTAACTTCTTACATAGAAGCAACAAAACAATCTATAAGTTCAACGTTACAGGCTGGAAAAAGAAACGATTTTTGGAATAATTAAATTTAATTAATTTTAATTTTAATTTGCTAAATTAAAAAGAGTGAAATCAAAATAAAAACAATATAAAATTATTAATGATTAACGAGAAAATTATGAAATCACGTCGAATTATTATTTAATTATTTTATGTAAAAACTATACTCATTATAGATCGCAGTTTACTCCTAAGTAGTGTGATAAGTTCGAAAATGTAGGTTTGTGTGCGTTGTAGTTTAAATATAGTATAATTATAATATATATTCATATAAAAATATATATATATAGTATATATATATTTACTGAAATGAAGAAATGAAGTATAGTTAAGCATGCACATACATACAAGCGCATAGTCAGTAGGTTCTTCCAGTTGTATCAGAGATGAGAGGCATTTATTCGTGTTTAGTAGTGTTCAAGATTCCTAGTTCATTCGATATTTAGTTATCATAATTTTAGAATCATTTTCTTTTAGACATATACATTAAAACGAACCGAAACACGATACATGCATAATACATACTACATTTACATAGTTACAAACAAATCGGCACTGTTCTATAATCTTTAGAATAGTCCTCATACATATAATACAAACATATATGCATACTTATATACTTAAAATTAAACACAAAATCTACACTGCTTAAGATATTTGTAAATATTTATTCTAAATTATTATACATGTAATTTTTTTCTTGTAAATATATTATATTTTTGTTGGGTGTATTTATATATACATATATATATTTATTATTATATATTTATTATTATACATTTATTATTATATATTTAGTATTATTATTGCTATTATTATTACTAAATTATATACACAGAAATTTTATAACGAATTACTTACTATACATGCATATAAATATAAACTTAAAACTGACTACATACTATAAACATATACCTATATGCAATTTATTACATTAAACATTATTTCGGAAGTCAATTTTGAGAAATAAATTTTTTTTTTATTTTATTAAATTTTATATGTATGTATTTCGAATCTTTATGGACAATTTTAGATTGATAAGCTAAAATATCTTATCAGAGTCTTATTATTTATCTGAACGGATATATATAGTTTATATTTTTATGTGGTGCAATTCCGAAATCCAGGGTATACCAATTTTACAACAGATTTTAGTAGAGTTAACTATTTTCAGTAATTTTTTTTAGTAAGCCAGTAAAACTAACTTCTCGAGATATCGAGTTTTAAAGTTAAAAACTTTTTTAATTACTGATACTAACAAAAACTGCACATGCCATCAAAAACCTAATCGTCGCATAGCAAGTAGACACTATGTTTTCGAGACACTATATCTCGAAAACTAAACTATATCAACATATAGCGTAATTAAAAAAAAATGGTAAAAATTGCTATCTTTACTAAAATTCGTTTATAAATGGGCTTGTCTAGAAATTCGGAGTCGTTCCTTTTATGTATATAATTGTGTGTCCCATTTATGTAGTAAAACAAGTAAATAATATATAACAAATAACAAAAAACGAATTGAAATATATAAATTATATATAAATATAAGTACTATATTTATATATTATAAATAAACTAATCTATTAAATTGCAGTTCAGCTGTTCAAGGAAGAAGAAATTAAAGCTATATTATATTTATCTTATATATATGCGTAGATACCATATGCTCAAAAAAGTGGTGTTATAATGAAATATCATCTGCTTTTACGAAACCCTTTCCTAAGATAATAATGCGTTAATATACAAAAAGTTAGATCATTTATTGGATCATTAAAGTTGATCCTCAGAGTCAACAAAGGGTTTTAGCCCATTGTGTTACTATATAAATTTCTAATAACATGTTTCCACTTGCCTCATTTCATCGGTTTTGCTTATTAAGGCCGTTAATGAAGATAATTTACCATACAATATGCTTTTATATGAAAAAGGTCATTATAAATAAATGAACTGATTTAAGAGAAGAAATATCGTATACAACTCATTAAAATAAATTGCCAACAAGAGAAATGATCATAATTTGAAATATTTGTCATATATTTTATATGTAAAATGTACAAACAAAGCTATTTCATATGCATAAATCAGATAATGCCAATGGATACAACCAAAACTTTAATCCTTTAACGTAACGCTAGTTACTTGAAAACATTTATTTGAAGAATAAATAGCAATTATGTGCAATCAGTATAGGTTTATATACTGTTTAAACGTTCTTTCAGCACAGACATAGCTCACCTCGGTGCCGCTTAATATATAATCTGCTAGAAATCTTTTTCCCAGCAGGCTTTGCCATCGGTGTCTACCGAACTTAGTTTCTGTAACTACGTCTACTTCCAAATACATCGTATAGAGTTCATGATTGCTGTGTCTCTGGAATTGCCCTTTCTTACATATGGGGTTAACAATTCTTCGTATAACTTTTCTTTCAAGGGCGATTAAGAGGTCAAAGTCTATGTTTTGGGTTCATATGTGAATACTGTTAAGATCATTTTGTTATGCCGCAATAGCTCAGAAGTAGCTCGGAAATTTTCTGA